TTTTTGTATTTTTAGTAGAGACGGGGTTTCACCATATTGGCCAGGACGGTCTCAATCTCTTGACCTCATGATCCTCCCGCCTTGGCCTCCCAAAGTGCTGGGATTATAGGCATGAGTCACTGCGCCCAGCCATAAAATTCATCCTTTTTATAAGGACACAAGTCATATTGGATTACTGCCCATCCTAATTCCTAATTTTATCTCAATTATCTCTATAAAGACCTTATTTCCAAACAAGTGACACTCAAAGGGACTGGGGATTATAACTTCAATGTATCTTTTTTGGAGGGATACAATTCAATCTAGACATAAAATATGAAACTAAAAGAAAAAAAAAAGCAAAGCAATCATTTCCACAGATGTAGAAAAGCCTTAATGAACTCCAACATTCATTCTTGATAAAAGTTCTTAAATCTTCCTCCATCTTAATAAAGGGCATCTACAAAAAACCCTGGGCTAATATCCATATTTGAGAGTAAAAGACTGATAACTTTCCCTCTAAGATCAGAAGCAAGGAAAGAATGTCTGGTCTCATCACTTTTATCCAACGATATACTCAAGCTTCTGGTCAGTGCAAAAAGACAAGAAAAAGAAATAAAAGGCCTTCAGAATAGGAAGGAAGTAAAACTGTCTTTATTTATAGATAGCAAATCCTGAATATATAGAAAATCTAGCAAAATCCACAAAAAAAGCTGCTAGAACTCATAAGTGGTTTTTACAAAATGGCAAGTACAAGATTAATATTAAAAAATCAATTATACCAGCCTGGGCAACATAGTGAGACCCTATCTCTACAAAAATACCAAAATATTAGCCAGGTGTGGTGGCGCACACCTATAATTCCAATGTATTAGTCTGTTTTTGCACTGCTATAAACTAACTGAGACTGGGCAATTTATGACAAAAAGAGGTTTAATTGACTCACAGTTCTGCAGGCTTAATAGAAAGCATGACTAGGAGGCCTCAGGAAACATATTCATGGCAGAAGACAAAGGGGAAGCAAGCACATCTTACCATGGCAGAGTAGGAGAGAGAGAATGAGTGAGGGAGAAGTGCCAGACACTTTCAAAAAACCCAATCTCATGAGAACTGACTATCACAAGAATAGCAAGGGGGAAGTTCGCCCCATGATTCAATCACCTCCCACCAGACTCCTGGGGATTACAATTTAAGGTGAGATTTGGGTGGGGACACACAGTCAAACCATATCACCCAGCTACTCAGGGGGCTGAGGCAGGAGGATTGCTTGAACCTGGGAGACAGAGGTTGCAGTGGGCCACGATCACACCACTGCACGCAAGCCTGAGCAACAGAGCAAGAACCTGTAACAACAACAATAACAACAACAGCAGCAAGAAAAACAAAACCCCCAATCATATTTTTACATACTATCTGACATAGTTGGAGTATTTCTCCCTTCCAAATCTCATCTTAATATCGGATCCGAAGTGTGGGGCCTAGTTGGGGGTGTCTGGGTCACAGGGGCAGATCCTTCAGGAAAACTTAGTGCTGCCACTGCATAATGAGTGAGTTCTCACTCTGTTAGTTGCCTCCAGAGCTGACTGTTGAAAACAGCCTGACTACTACCTCCCCTTTCTCTTGCTTCTCCTCTGGCCATGTGATCTGCACAGGCAGCCTCCCCTTCACTGAGTGGAAGCAGCCTGAAGCCCTCACCAGAAGCAGCCTGCAGGAGCGTAAGCCAAATAAACCTCTTATTTGTAAATTATTCAGTCTCAGGTATTCCTTTTTAGCAACTCGGACTAAGACACTATCAAAGAAAACTGAAAATTGAAAATTGAAAATGTCATTTACATAATATCAAGAAGTATATGTTCCTCCCATCCTTAGATTTATGGATAAATCTGACATAGGGTGATATGGTTTGGCTGTGTCCCTGCCCAAATCTCATTTTGAACTGTAGTTACCATAATCCCCAGGTGTCCTGGGAGGGAGCCGATGGGAGGTAACTGAATCATGGGGGTGGCTATTCCCATGCTGTCGTCTGATAGTGAGATCTCACAAGATCTGATGGTTTTATAAACGGCTTTTCCCTCTTTGCTCCGCACTTCTCCTTCCTGCAGCCCTGAAAAGAAGGACGTTTGCTTCCGCTTCTGCCATGATTTTAAGTTTCCTGAAGCCTCCCCAGCCATGCTGAACTGTAAGTCAATTAAACGTCTTTCCTTTATAAATTACCCAGTCTCAGGTATGTCTTTATCAGCAGTGTGAGAATGGACTACATATGGCTAGACCTGACAAAAGATCAAAACATTTGCTGAGTGAAGTAACAACGAAATAAATGAAGAAGCTTACTTTGTTTAAGGGTCATAACTAAATATTGTTAACATGTAAATTATTCTCATATGGACCTATAGACGAAATGTGACTCCAATCACAATCGCAACTTTTTAAAGTGACAAGCCGATTTTAGTAGTCATATGAAAACCCAAGGGATTAGATGAACAAAAACATTTTTGAAAAAGAACAAGAAATTGGAGGCCAAACACGATCTGATTTTAAGATTCTTATGAATCTACAGGAATCAAGACAATGTGGTATTTTTGTAGAGAGAAATAGAATAAATTGTCGGAACAGAATACAAAGTCTAAGAATAGACCCACAACTGATGCTTTAGGGACAACTGATTTTTAACATAGGTGCAAAAGCTATTCAGGGAGAAAAAGAAAGCTCTCTGAACAAATGACGCTATTCATATGCAAAAAAATGACCTCAGATCCATACTTGCACCACAAACAGAAATTAGCTCTAATTAGATCACAGACCTCAATATAAAACCTAAAATTCTAAAACTTGTGTCAGAAAATACAGAAGAGATCCTCTGTGTCCTTGGGTTAGGCAAATTCCTCGGACAGACAAAAAACAAATCCTAAGATCCAATCTGAGCCGCCGCACAGCCCTGCTCTCCCCACTCAGCCTGAAGTCACCGCTCGGGTCCCGCCCCTCTCCCCACCCGGGACCCTCCTGGCCCCGCCCCAATCCACCCGCTCCGCCCCGCCCCGCTGTCTCGTCTCCACCCGGAAGAGCCGCCGGGGCAGGGAGGTTGAGGCGGTTCGCGGCTCGGCGTCGGTCGGGAGCGCAGGCCAGGCAGAGCCGCAGGCGCTAGGCCGCCCCACAGAGCCCGCGCGTCCCCGTAGCGGGTGGCGCCTCGAGCGGCCACGCGCACGCGCGCACCCCGCCCCACCAGCCTTCTAGCGCCAGAGACGAACCCGCCACCTGGCTGGAGCTCTCTGGGCCCCTCGGCCTCGGGAGCAGCAGCGGCGACTTCTGGCACAACCAGTAAGTGATAGCCGCCTCTTCCTTTCGCGGTTATGTTTTTCTCCAGTTCGTCCCAAGTCTCGTTCACGTTTCATTACTTCAAAAACTATTCAACTCCGGGACCGGACAGGCACGGGAGCTGCCCGAGAGAAGAGCCCGGGAAGAGTCAGAGACTGCCAAGGTGTCGTGGGGCAGGGGTTGCGCGCAGAGACCCTCTGAATTAGAAAGTTTGGAAAGCATGCCTCCAAAACCGAGCGACTCCACGTTTGCCAGGCGCCCCTGGGGCAGCCGAGTGGCGGGGAGAAGGCGCGAAATGGCGCGCTCCCGCAGTGAGAGGGGCGGAGGGAGTGGGGCGGGGCCGAGGGCGCGCGTCCGGCCAGCCCGCGCGCAGGGGGCGGGGCTCCCGGCAGGTGCAGGCGGGCGGGGTGGGGCTGCAGCGATTCCGGAGACAGCTGGGGAATGTCAGTGCAGTTAGGCACTCTCTTCTTTTCGACGCTTCGCTGTGATCAAGAGGACAAAGTAAAGCAAATGATTGTATTTTGACCCCAAATATTCAATAAGAAAAGGAAAGAGAACGTGAAGGTTGTGAAATGACCCTTCCCAAAACAAAAAGTGCCTCCAGTGTGTATCTGGGTGGGTAGTAGGTGCGTTGAGTTAGCAAACTGCTTGTAGCACAGTTGATTAGACAGTTTTGCGTAGATGTTGAAAGGGAATGAAGAACGATGGTCCATACAGCCATAGAAATGCTGGTCTAACTAGGAAAAATTTAATCTAACGTTAAAATTTTAATTTGAACATTGAATTCTGCTGCTGCCCTTTTCCTGCCTTGTGTGGAGCTGTTTTTCAAATTGCTAAATTTGTGGCTCTAAACTTAATATGCTTTAATAAAATCATAGTGATTCTCTCGTAGCCACTCTTGGGAGTGCAGATTTTTTTTTTTTTTTTTTTTTTTTTTTTTTGCAAAGTCCACATTGTGGAAATATTCCTTCCCAAGTACTTTTTCTGTTTTACACTTGGCTGAATTTATATTGCTTAACCAAAAACAAATTACCGTGGAGGCCATAATTTATTTTCACTCATTGTCTTGGATATACATTTACTCATTCTTACTCTCACCCTGGCCTCCTATAGTTGTCAGGATTCTTGACCTAACTTGTATATACTTCTTACACCTTTCACACCTTGCGGAATAGCAGGTTCTCAGAGAAAGCAAAATATAGCAGACAGCGTGTATAACATATACTTTGGATGATAAACTGCGAACTTTATAGCAATCTCCTTTAATATTCGTATTTGTAGAGCCCAGTACAATAAATGTTGGACAAATGAAATAAGTCAAATTTAAGTACACCTCTTCTCCAGTGCTCAATTTCTTTCCAAACGAAATAAATGTTTCTTATTTGGACAGATTGTTTGTAACTGTCCAGTTACCTGGGATCGTCACCTTTTTTAAATTTAACCTCCCTCTCCTTTGTGCTCCTATTCATATTGCATTTTTGACCACTGATAAGAGCACTGTTTCATTTTATTTGTCCCTTGGATCTCTGAGGACATAGAGAACCTTTTACTGTACTTTTCGTTTGCCAGCATAGTGCCTTGTACATGGTAGATATTAGGAAATGGACATTGAATTGGGTTTATACATGTGTAATTTGTTATCTGTCTGTATACATGAAAATAGAATGGGGGTAGGTGCTTTTTATCTGTAGATACATACTTTTTAATGGAGTGCCAGGGGATTGAGTTAAAGTAATGGTATATGCTGTATTTATTTTCAATAATACTTTTTTATTATTTGAAGACTCAGTGTTTTTTTTCCTTCCTATGTTTATCTGTTTTCTTTACATTGTTGACAGCTGTTTCAGCAGAACCCAGTAGATTTCCTAGGGTAAGAAAGAGAAAGAAGGAAACAAATTCACTTCCAAATATGAATTTCTAAAGACAGTCTGCTAATTATTCATGTCAGAACTGGCTGTCAATTTGATTAATGGTATGTGTTTCTGTTACATAGCAGAATACACATGAGTGTGTGTGTATAACTAAAGAGAGAGAGTGAGAGAGCACAAAAGAATGATACTGTGTTCATATAAATAAATTCCAGAATCAGGACTCTTGCAAAGAACTCCACTGTTACTGACTTAAGCCAAAAGATATGTTTCAGATTTTATACTTGAGAGCAAATGTGTGAGTATGGAATGTGGCCTCTTACATATATTATGTAAAATAAATACAATTATATGTCATTTAATGGTTGGGATACATTCTGAGAAATTTGTCATCAGGTGACTTTGTCCTTGTGTGAACATCATAGAGTATGTTTACACAAATGTAGATGGTACAGCCTACTACACACCTAGGCTATATGGCATAGCCTATTGCTCTTAGGCTACAAACCTGTACATCATATTATTATACTGAATACTGTACGCAGTTGTAACACAATGGTATTTATGTATCTAAACAGAGAAAAGGTACAATAAGGATACAGTATTATAATCTTATGAGACCACTTTTGTAAGTACAGTCTGGAAATGTTACTAGGTGCAGGCCTGTATATTAATGCAGGGTTAATATGAAGGAAATTTTGGGAAAAGATATGGGAAATGCTTTGAACTATTTCTGATTTTGATAATCAGTACCAACATAGTTCTTTGACTTACATTTGACTTCACTCATTTTTAAAGTACATGTACTGTGACTGTAACAGATAATTCAGATTTCATTAAGATTTGAATTCAGATATTATTTTGTGATAATAGTATGACCCAAAGCCAGTGTGATTTATAACCAATCGTTTTTGTTAAATTGTGTGTACATCTTGAATATCAAATATATAATATCCTTTTTTTTTTCTTTAGTTACCTAGATTCAAGATGAATAGCGATCAAGTTACACTGGTTGGTCAAGTGTTTGAGTCATATGTTTCGGAATACCATAAGAATGATATTCTTCTAATCTTGAAGGAAAGGGATGAAGATGCTCATTACCCAGTTGTGGTTAATGCCATGACTCTGTTTGAGACCAACATGGAAATCGGGGAATATTTCAACATGTTCCCCAATGAAGTGCTTACAGTTTTTGACAGTGCACTGCGAAGGTCAGCCTTGACAATTCTCCAGTCCCTTTCTCAGTCTGAGGGTGTTTCCATGAAACAGAATCTTCATGCGAGGATATCAGGTAAATCACTTAAGGATTTTACTGTCTTGCTATCTTCTAGAAAGACTTTGAGAAAATATACTAGATTGAGAACACTAAGAAATAATTGATATTTATACTTAAAATATGTATCTGTTATGTAGTTGATGGTCACTTCTTTTAGAGCAGAATAATAATTGTGTTCTGTGGGCATGAAGTATGAGTCATGCCCACTGAGGGTAGGGAGAATGTGTGGAGACAGCAGTATTCTTATGTGTCTATATATTTCCATATCTGTGTATAAAATGGTAATTCAAAACAGCTTTATGAGCTTTTATGGTTACTAACAATAAAATAACTGGTAATACAAAGAATTAGAAAAGTGATAGATCTTGTCCAGAGATCTTCAAAACTGTTTTAGGAAATTAGTTATTTTTATATATCAGTATTAGCATTGTGCTGTCTACCTACCAGTTACTCAATACATTTTTGTTGAATGCATGACAGATTAAGGATTTTAATTGTTAAGAAACTGCAGCAGAGCAATCAGCAGCTTGTGGTGGCAAAGCTGTGTCCTTGAATTCCTGCCTCTAGGAGTTCTTGCCCCTCACTTTCTGTTTTAAAAGTGATTTTTTAGCAGGATGGATAGAGTTGAATTAAGAATTTTAGAAAAAAGTGACACTATAGTGTAACAATTTTTATTTAGTTCATTGCATGGGAATAATTTCTTGGAAGGCATGGTGTGGTGAAAGAGAAGAACTGGATTTAAAGGCTACATGCCTAACCTGGGAAACTTAGTAAATTGTTTTATCTCACTGAGCCTCAGTTTCTCAAATGCAAACCACTTCTAGAGTCCCTGTCAACCCCCCAATTAAAACAAAATTTAAATATGCCATTATTGTATAATTTAATAAAGGCTGGTACAGCTTCATTCTATTTACGTGAAAGAAAGATTTGGTAAAATTAAAAGCAGGTCCAGAATATTGAGGGCAGTCTGTTATTAAGCTGGAGAACATACACACCCTTTTGTTTAAAAATAAATATTTACCGGCCGGGTGCGGTGGCTCACGCCTGTAATCCCAGCACTTTGGGAGGTGGAGGCAGGTGGATCACGAGGTCAGGAGATCGAGACCATCCTGGCTAACAAGGTGAAACCCTGTCTCTACTAAAAATACAAAAAATTAGCCGGGCGCGGTGGCAGGTGCCTGTAGTCCCAGCTACTCAGAAGGCTGAGGCAGGAGAATGGTGTGAACCTGGGAGGCGGAGCTTGCAATGAGCCAAGATTGCGCCACTGCACTCCAGCCTGGGTGACAGAGCAAGACTCCGTCTCAAAAAAATAAATAAATAAATAAATAAATAAATAAATAAATAAATAAATATTTACCTTATAATACATTTGAGAAGAGTGGTGATTTATAATCAATAAGGATGCTTCCCCAGTTCCAAAAAGGTTTGGAGTCACTATAGTAGAACTTCTTGGAGGCGAGTTAAGATTCCCAAAAAGACCAAATACTTAATTCAAATGAAAAATATTATCTGCAGTTACACTTGTTAGGATAAATTATGAAGATTATTAATCATTATGCAACAGGGTACTAGATAATCTCTTGATGGGATCAAGTAAAAGGGTCCCCCCCGGCCCTGACTTTTTTTTAAAATTAGAGATGGAATCTCACTCTGTTGCCCAGGCTGGTATTAAACTCCCAAGCTCAAGTGATCTTCCTGCTTAGGCCTCCCAAAGTATTGGGATTGTAGGTGTGAGCCATCATACCTGGCCAATGTTTCCTTTTAATAAGTTTGCAAAAGGATTATTAAGGGGGACTTTAGTTAATGTTGTTGAAATGGTATTTAGGAAATAGTTTTAGGCTGCCATTATTTTCAGATACCTTTCCATGCTCAGTTTAAGTAATACAATCCTGTCTGCCTAAGTGACCCTCTCAATTTCAGGTGAATTTAGCT